TATATGTTAACCGTGGTGTAGTTTGTTTTTGGAAAACCATAAAAAGTGGTGCTCTTTACAGAATAAAACGTGTAAATATCCTAAACCTGTGTTTAATTAAAAACGGAGTTTATTTACTCCAATAATCCAAAACTTTCAGGGGAACCAGTGTGATGCTAACTTCCGGGTGAGCCTATCGGCGCCATCTTTAAAAAAAAAACGGTTGTTCACCTGGGACGAAGACGTATATTCCCGCCTCATTGTCTTCTTCCGGTTCGCCCTCCAATGACTCATAGGTACACATGTAGTAGTTGGTGTTTTCTACGGTGGCGTTGAAAATGAAAAGCGTCGCCGTGTAGTATCCCGGGATCACGAAGGTGTTTGTCGGCAGCGGCTCGGCCCAAACGACGTTTCTTTTACCGGTGCAGCTGATGTTGAACACGGAGCTGGGCCGGAGGATGAACTCTTCTTCGTTGGACACGATGGTAGGCGGCGACAGACCGGAAGTAACTGAAAGATAGTTTTGTAAACATTAGAGCAACTGTCAAAAAATATATATATATTATGTATATTAGCCTATATATATATATATATCTTTTTTTTTATTATTATTATAATAATTATTAGAATTGTTTTAACTTACCTGAAACCAGCACCACCAGGAAACCCCCAAAGACGACCCACGTCTTTAGGCCATCCATGCTCATGGATGTTGTATCCTTAAAGACAGAAAGACGACTTATTTAGTCAACAAACAATGTACCACTGTCTCCACGTTCTAAAAAAGTATATAACATTACGATTTAATCAATAAATCAATGTCTTATTGATTTCTTGCTTTGTTATTTAACCCTTAAAGATTTATAGAGTGATGACAGGACGCGCTGCTAGTGAACATACAAATGGTCGCTAGAGGGCGACACAGTCCACATTTTAACAGCATCAAACCTCTTTGAATCTAATCATCTCCAGTTTGAACAGTCGAGTTGTTCTTTTCGCCTGATTTGAAGAAAATATCCGCTTTTCAAAGCTTTGATTTACAACTATATTGCAAAGTCTATAACATGCACATGCAAACTGTCTTTTTTCTTGTTTGGCTCAAACATACTTTTTAATAAAATGTCTAAAGGACTCTTAATTAAGACTTTCTCGTCTCACAGAGGCTGCCAGGTTCGGTTTGGTCACGCAGCTCACCAGCAGACATCCCCCCCCCCCTGTGTGCCTGTCTGTCTGATCCTGGATCAGGGCGTTCAGTCAGGGGCCACACAGTTTGAGAGGCGCTCACTAAAAGAAAACGGGTCAAAACTGTTTTAAATATCTTAACAAAAAAACACGATTCAAGCCATCTCTGCTTCAGGAGTTACTTATTTTATATTTGTTCCTCTTTTTCTCTCTGCGGATATTCAGTTTTTTTTCCCGAAACACTAAATCTTTTGGCCCCTGACCTGCAAATCTGTCGCTGTGGCTCATCCGAAACTTCCTAAATCATGCAACCTGGGTTTCTGTGACTCTATGATCAGCGGACCCGAACCGTAACCACAAAAAGCCTCGTCTCCAACAATTTATTTTTCTTTTGTGGAGGATCCTTCAGCCGCCGCGCGTAAATCTAACCGAGCCTGCTGCCTGTATGTCCGGCTCTTCTTTTACGCCTCCTGCTCCCAAACAAGCGACTCCACAGAATGTGGCAGACTGTAAATGAAGCGCCCTGCATGCCTTTGACTAACAGCTGATAAGGCTCGTCTCAACTTTCTGCCCCCCTGCAGAGGGGGAGATATGGTTCACTTCAGTCCCGCCTCAAGAAAAGTTTGATTTCCACGGAAACTTTTATAAGAGACTTAACCCTAACGACAAAATGTGCAATAAAAATAAAAGTTTGGAATTTCTCTTTTCTTTCCTATATATTGGGGCACTTTTGAGCACAATCAGTGTTCCTCGGGTGGCACAGCGGGGTAGGTGGTTAATGAGGAATGCGTCCGTGGCTCCAAAACGCTCTTCTCCTCCTCCTCTTCCTCCTCTTCCTCTTGGATCCTCTCAGCTGCAGCTCTGGAGCCCACAGTCGGACTCATTTGCAGTGCCGAGTATTTATTTTATTTTAATTCCTCACATTCCACGAGAAAAAGAAGAAAACAACCCAATGATGCGATGCACAACTCTCACTGTGTTCCTCATTACATGCCGGGCGGCGTCCCACAAACGGTCACGTCTTCGAGGGGAGACCTCCAGCTGTGCGAGGGCCCGAAACCGAGCGCGTTTCATCCGTCAGCGGCATCTCACTGCTCGGCGTCCAGGGGCGCGACCATATGGTAACC